GCCAGCCGCAGGTTGGCAGCCAGGTGAAGGCAGGCGGCGTGCGCAGCCCTGCCCGTCCGCGAGGCCTCGTGGCCCAGCTCCGCCAGATCCCTGTGTTGGGAGAGGCAGGACTGGACCTGGCCATCCTTGGGGAACTCAAGGGACCCCCCCCAGCCACACCAGGACCCCACTGACCTCTCGGTGGCAGCTTTTATCTCCCCAAAGTGCCGCCTGAAAGCCACCACCTGCCTCCAGAGGGTCAGGAGCCGGCTGTGCTCGTTGCTGAAGTAGGTGTTGAAGGACTGTTTGGGGCACATGGAGCTGCATCGGTGCCAGCTGGGTACCCGCCAGGTTTGGGGGACCCTCCCCATGCAGCCACCTCTGCCTTGTAGCTCCCCCAGGCAGCACTCCCTCTCCTCATGCCGCCCCCATCCCTCTCCCTTTGGTCCCCCAATCTCCATACAACACCCCCATCACTTCCACAATTCTCCACAGCCAGCAACCCCCCACCCCAATTCCCTGCCACCCTGCAGAGAGGGACAGCGGACACATCCCCCTGCCCAGCATCACCCTCCCATCACGTGCCTCATCGCCTGCAACCCCAAATTCTTCTCTGTGCAACATCCCCTGTGACCCCACATCCCTCTCAGTGAGCCTGCATCCCTCCCCACATCCTTTTCCATTCCACACCCCCCGCATCCCTCTGCCTCGAATCTCTCTCCCTGTCACCCTCCAGGCCCCCATCACATTCCCAGGGACCCCCCAAACCTCCTCCTCGCGCCTCCATTCTGCCTCCCGCTGCTCCAGCTCATCCCGTGCCCGTGCCCAGTCAGCCGTCAGCTTGCGGATGTCCTCGCTCAGCGCTGCGTTGGCCACGTTGGCTTGTTCCAGCTGCTCCCGCAGCATCGAGTTCACCTGCACCAGGCTGCTGCTCCTGGGATTGGGGGGGTGCGTGTGTGTCACACATGGCTGGAACATCACCCTTAGGGGGGTCCTGCAGCTCCCTGGGGACCCCTGCTCACCTCTGATGCTCCTCTTCCAGCCGGATCAGGGCGTTCTCCAGCTCGTTGGTGCTCTCCTCCTCTGGTAGCGAGCTGCTCACATCCAGCTGACTCTGCAAGTACATCAGCCCACTCGCCATCACCCCAGTTTGGGGGGATTCAGCACAGGGAAGACCCCCTCCAAAACCAGCGCTCACCGTCAGCCTCTCCTGCTCCAGCTCCGTCGCCTTCTCCAGCAGCTGCTGCTCCACTTCACCACATTTCTTCTTATATTGCAACACCTGGACAGAAGGGATGGGCTGGGTGACACTGAGGTGGGTCCCCAAAATGTCCCTGTGTCCCCTAGGAAGGATTTACCTTGGCTTGGAGCTTCTGCACCAGCTGGGCTTGCCGCTGCTGGCCCTCCTGGTACGCCTGCAGCTTGCGCTTGTAGGCAGCTTGTTCCTCCTCCAGCAGCCGCCGCAGCTCGATGTTGTGCTGTGCCAAGCTCCGGCTCTCCGCTGCTTCCCGCTCTCCCGTCTCCAGCCGCAGGGTTTGCTCCAGCTGGGATGGGATGTGGGATTTCCCGGGACATCCCCCACCCCCGACACCCATCGGGATGTTAAATCCACCGCCCCAGCACCCACTGAGCATCCTCCAACTTCACTCGCAACACCCCATCCTAGACAAAGCCAGTTTGGGACAATCCTACAGCAAACCCCCATACAGCCAAAGCTGAGACACCCCCCCAAATTTGGTATCCCCTGCTCTTTGCATGCACAGGGTGGGGATGAATAGGAAAATTTGGGGGTGCTTTTAAAAATAACCCAACTTTGAATCTAGAAGTTTGGCAAAGCACCATCCTGGCTTGTATGGGATTAGCCGATGGCTAAAGGATCCTTAGGCACGGAGGTGGTGATTCCCTTTGGGATATTTTCCCAATATATGCTTTTATTTTGTAAACAACCAGGCACAAATAGGGGTGCTGCTCCCCAAAAAACCCTTTAGATTCAGATCTCCCCAGGAGCCATGCTCAGCATCTGGCTGCTGCCCAAAGCCCTTTTTAATTCCCCCGTTGCCACGGTAAAGGGATGCAAAGGAGAAGCCTCAGAGGTTTGCTGCAATCCAGGCAGAAAATAAAAGGCCCCCGATGGGGAGGGTGCTGGTGTGGAGTGTTTTAAGGCACGTGTTCTTTTGCTCTCTAGCATTTATTTCATCATTTCGATGCCAGAGATTTAAGGGCAAGAGCAGGGTGTCCCAAAGCCCCAGTTTTGGTCCTGAAGGAATCTCGATGATTCCAGCACCCACACAGGAAAAAGCAGACAAGGGGCCTGGATCAGAACTGAACCCAGCCTGCATTTGCCTGAGTCTGGCTAGAAGCCGATCTGGAAAGAGAGAAAAAGAGGGGGAAAAATTGATTTTAGACATTAAAAGGGACTGTGGCATGTGGGAAGGGAGCTGGGAAGCCAGAAACAGGTCCTCTGGGGTCACCTCAAAACTCTTCCCACCGCACAGAGTAGCAGGGGAAGACGGGGCATGGCACTGCGAGGAAGGCAGCACCCACAGACCTGCACTGAACTTGGAGAATTTGCAACACATACTGTTCAGAGCCCCTTTTAAATCCCAAACGGGTTTTCAGCAAAACAAGTAAGATTTGGATCACCCACAACCCCCCACATGGCCTCACCCTGAAGCTTTGGCAAAGTCTCCCCAGACATCAGCGGCGGCTGCAGCGGGAGCAGCAGTGGGCTGCGGCCAGGCCAAGAGGGCATCTGTCGGTGGGCAGGAAAATCAGAAAGAGAGACAACAAACACCCAGAGTTATTTCCCACTCTTATAGGAGTCTAAAGAGCTTCACAGTCATTGCTGTATGACCACACACCTGTGATGGGGGTGCCCGGGAGCTGGGCGGGCACAGAGAGCGATGATGGCCGCTCTCCAGAAGGACAAACCGGAGCGGAAGATTTTCCTCCAGGAGGTGGTGGGAGCAAGCTCAGGCCCCCAGGACCTGCAGGACGTGGTCTGGTGTTCCCCGCTGTTCCTTCCTTTTTCTTCATATTCTGAAAGGAGAGGGAAACTTAGGTGGTGCCACGTTTAAATGCAGAGCCGGAGCGCGATTTCTCCCAGCTGCAGCTCGCACAAAGCCAAATTCTGGGGGAAATCTGCTTTATTCTGGGGGAAAACACGGCTGCACAGTGACATTGCACAGCTGGCGCAGCAGAAGT